GATAGATAGATAGATAGATAGATAGATAGATAGATAGATAGATAGATAGATAGATAGATAGATAGATAGATAGATAGATAGATAGATAGAAAGATGGGTAGACAGACAGACAGACAGACAGATAGGAGAGGCAGAGATGGGCAAAATAATCCAGAACGAGATTCTTACTTCAAGATCCTGTCAAGATACCCAGACGCCCCGAACACGGGAAGAATTGGAATCAGGCCTGCGGAGCCCCAATCAGAATTAAAGCGAAGGAAGGAACACAAGAGGAAGAGAGGTCACAAGCAAGATCGGAGTGAGGCCCGAGAGGTGAAGCAGAAGTTGAGTGGGCGTGGCCGAAGGGCACTGAGCAGAGGGCAGGCATGACAGAGCATGAAATGTGACGAAATGTGACAATAGGTGTTTGGGTGTGTAGGTAGGCAGGTAGGGGTGGGTGGGTAGGTAGTTGGGTGGGTGAGTAGGTAAGCAGGTAGGTGGGCAGGTAGGTAAATAGATAGCTGAACGGATGAGTAGGTGAGATAAAGGCCAGAAAGCAGTATCAAATGGTGCACTAATAAAATATAAAGCTTGTCTTTGCTTTAACAATTAAAATAAAAAGTAGCCATTTTGTTTTTGCAAATGTCGTTTTTAAAATTTAGTTTAAAAAAAACCACCTTATTAATTTTGTTCTCATTTTATTTAGAAAAACCGAAGAACGAACCTTACAGGGTTCCAGTAACTGGTTAGGTGCTTTCTTAAACCACTGAACGTACAAAAAAAATAAGCATAACCTCTCTCTGCACATTTCAAAAACAAGTTTTTATTTGGACACAGACGTTGTGTAGCTTTAAATGCAGACAACATAAACTAAATAAGTGAATATTTTCAGACGGTTGTGATCTGACCTTTGTGAGTTGTTGGCTTTTTAACACTAGAACTCCCARATCCCTGTCATTTGACCAACATTACCTATAGTTCCCATGGAACTGTCAAATGACAGTTTGAATTAGCATTTTTGC